CTCCACCCAGATTATCTCCAGGCGCCTTAAATTATGCCCTAACAAAACACATGATCTCTACCCACCCTACCCTGCCCCCAAACAAAACAAAACAAAATTGAAAGCAAAACCACCCGGTCTTTTCTTCTATGCTCCCTTATTGGTGTCTGGCCCCACCATTCATCCACTGTATAATCCAGACATGTATGTATGGGGCATTGCCACCTACATACCTCCTTTACCCTCTGTTCCCAATCCTTTAGCCAGATCGTGCCATTTTATACCTTTTCTATACCCATCTGCTTTTCTACATCTCACCTGCCACCACCCTAATTCCGAGCAACAATTCTGTCCACTTACACTTTTTCAATAGCTTCCTAGTTGGCCTCCCCCATTCACGCTTGATCCACTGATTCTTTCTCCTCAGTTCAGAATGACACATTCAAAATGCAAATCTGATCTTCTTTTCCCCTCCCTCCCTCCCATGATTAAAATCTTTCCATTGGTTTTTGTGGATCTTTGAATAAGGATCAAACTCTAACACAGTCTACAAGATCTTGCATGATCTGGCTCCTGCCAGCCTCTCCAGCCTCCGTCTCACACCTCTGTGCCCTTCAAACATGAAAATCCTTTTTTCACCTCCTGGAATGCATCTGTCCCCGCCCCCTGAATGCCATCTTCTCTTTTATCTGCTTAATTCCTATTTATCTTCCAGATCTCATTCAAATGTCACTTCCTGGGAGGAAGCTATCCTGAAAATCCTAAACTTAATCAAATTCCTTTGATACAGTCTCATGGTACCATGTTCTTTAATGTTGTAGTACTTATATATGTTTGCAATTAAACATAAATGTGTAATATTTGATTCAAGTCTCTCTCTTCAATGACATTTTAAGTTCTGTGAACACTGCACTACACTTACTCCTCCTTTTCTTGGTTCTTCTCCCATCTGTCCCCTACATGTGAACATTTCCTAAGATATGGGTCTCCTCCCTCTTTTGACTCTCCACCCTTTTGACCAAAGGGATCTGTTTACTTCATAGCTTCAAAGCCTTTATCCTCAACCTCAATCTCTCCAAAGAGCCAGTTAGGCATCTCCAAGTAGTCCAGTGGTTTTGCAACATTTTGACTGCAACCAACATTTGGAACATTTCATATGGCAACTTACTACATATACACAGATAACAAATAATTTTCATGAAACAATACTGTCATTCTATTTCCCCCCATTTTATTTCATTTAAAAATACAGTGGGGCCTTGACTTACGAGTTTAATTCGTTCCGTGATGGAGCTCGTAACTCAAATTACTCATATGTCAAATCAAAAAGTGAACGAGTGAGACACATGATGCTGGGCTGATGTTGTGGCGTTCACTGTGACGTTCGCTGCGCCAACTAGCGGTGGGGTATCTGAAGCTGGCTCGTAACCCGAATTTTAGCTCGCAACTCAAAGCAAAAAATCGGCCGACGGCTCGTATCTTGAAAAACTCGTTAGCCGGGACACTCGTAACTCAAGGCCCCACTGTATTTCATTTTTCATATAATTCCAAGACCCACTAATGGGTCATGACCTGCAGTTTAAAAACACACCATCCAGTCACATAGTACCAGATATTTCCACATGAACATTTCTCTACAACCTCAAACATAATATATCTATTTCCCAACTCATTTCTCAATCAAACTTCTGAGGAATATGATCATTCTCTGAGTCACTCAGGATCAACATGATAGAGTCATTTTGGATCCTCCTTACCCAACAGTTGCTTTTGGTTCTTCCACTGCAATGTGTCACCACCCATTCTCGCCTTTCTATTCCTTCCATCCTAATTGTATTGCAACTTGGAGCACTCCAGCAGCCTTTATAACTGGTTTTCTCCTGCCAGAATTTTCAAATAGAGGTGACGTATGTTTGAATCACAAACATCAGGACAGAAAGTGATTCAATCTTCAGTTCCATTTTGACCAACAAAGTAGTATGTAAGGGACTGAAATGGATATGCCTTTATCTACTCACCAAACTCCTTAATTAACTTGATTAAATTTTAAGCCAGGCTGCCTCACGTTTCTATAAATCCCTATTACAGAAACCAGGCTCTGGCTTTGTAGCAGGCAGACTCACCCATGTCGGCAGTGACCATGGTGGACTGGTTTTCGGGGATGGAGACAGAGGTCTGGTCTTGGTCCATGCTTCGAGAGTCCTCGTTGACCTCTTGTTGACTCTGGCTGAGTTCTGATCGAAGTTCTGAGTACTCATCTTCCTCCCTGAGAAAAAAAGGAGAGTTGGCCACCACTTACAGAGATATGAGACAAATCCCTAGAGAATACGCCATTTAAGGACAAGAAAAAAGACATTCAGAGAGAAGAGAGAGAGATATCATCCCCCATAACCCCCTCACCCCCCGGGCCACTTGGAACAGGGTTTCTTCAGGCCAAATAGGTGGTCCCATCTATGGTCAGTATATGAAACTGAAAGGTTGCTGTGTCCACATACATACCCATATAGCTAGGAGATTCATCTATCAGCCTACTAGAAACTTTTCCCCTTCAAAGATTTCCTGAAGAAATTAGATTTCTTCCTCCCCTCAAATTCCAAGGTGAAAAAGGACTAGCGCTGATGCTACAGTGAGCAAAATCATTAAGACTCTGGTGGACAGAAACAGTGTTCTATTGCCTGGAGGGTCCCAATGGCACGCCTCCTTCTTGGAAGAGGACATGAGGAGGTACTGGGGCCAGAGCTACTGGAAAGCCAGCACCTCATCCATGCAGAACAAAATGAATGCTTTGAGAGGCAAATGGATCAGCATGTCTAAAAAATACCACACTTAATTTCCCTAAAGAAAGTAGGTAGAGTTAGAGCATAGGAAAAGAGGATGGAGTGGGGAGAACAGTGGAAACAATGAGTGAGAGAATTCCAGTCAATGGTCTATTTCCTTCCATTTGCTATCAGGAAGACAATATTTAAATGCAGCTATGTTTCATTAGCACTAGAACATCCACCCCTTCTCAGCCCTTCATGGATCCCTCAACCTTTGGTTTCTGAATTAATTATGAGCAAGCTAAGAAAACTCAGAATTGTAGTATGTATTTCAAGGCACACCCATATTTCCTCTCCACACCACCCTCATCACTGTATACACACTGGACACAGACATGGAGAGAGCAAAGTTAACTCTCTTTGAAGCATTTATTTTGCAAGTGAGCTAGAAGAGAAAATTGTCAGTGGATTTAATTATGAGGTTGGAAAGCCCATGGGTGTCTCAAGGCTGACATTCATTTTAAGTTTGTGATGTGTGAGTGTGTGTGTGTGTGTGTGTGTGTGTGTGCACACACACAGAAAGTCTACAGTCTTGAGTTTGGGGCAGACCCAGATGGTCAGTGGTAATCATTTCTGGAACTTGGAGAAGAGGCAACTGCCATTTTAGGCTGGGAGACAAATCTATAAATTAGAGAAATGTGAAGATCTCTTCAGACTTCTTGGTTCTTTCAACAAATCACATCCTCCCAGGGAAGAGATTCAGCTGAGCCCCTACTTTATAAGGTATTCTTAATAAAAGCCACCCGAATCTAGATTAATGTTAAACAGATGTAAGCCCCCCAAATGTGCAAAATATGAAATAGGATGGGAGTGGTGAAGGCAAAAAGAAATAGGTTAATGTTCTATGACTAAGTTAATTATTAGACACCTGCAAAACTAATAATAATTAGGAAATACAACAATTAAAAAGTACTCTTAAGTTTGGTGTAGTTGATAATTGTGTCCTGATATATCAGTTTTCCTCTCAAAACTGTTTTTGTTTGTTTGTTTGTTTTGTTTTAGAGAGACAGAAAGAGGAAGAGAGAGGGAGGTGGAGGGAGGGAAGGGGGGGGGAGAGAGAGAGAGAGAAACCTCAATGTGAGAATGGAACATTTATCAGCTGCCTCCTGTATATCCCCGCCCTCCTTCCCCCCACCCCCCAACCTGGGCATGTGCCCTGACTGGGAATCAAACCAGTCCTTCGGTGCATAGGACGACGCCCACCCAATTGCGCCACACTGGCCAGGGCTTAGCTCTCCTTTCAATCAGCACTTAAAATTCTGATTTCCATTAACAGGAGATTCATGTCCAGTGTAATCAGCATGGCTGAGACTGTTTTACAGCTAAGAAAGCCAGGTAAATGCTACTGCTGTATCTGTGGTATAAATGGCATATGTAAAGTCTTTAAAAGCCACCTTAAACCATCCTGGCTTGGCAGGTTCCAAAACATGTAGTGCCTGCCAAATCTTCTGCTTTGTAAAGAATTACTTCTAGAGATTATTAGGATGAACTTTATAAAGGAGTGCACAGGGCAGGGATGTGAAGGTGAATATGTGGAGGCTTGGAGAGGAATAAGTGGTTCGGTATAGCTGAAACCAAAATGGGGTGCACGATGGAAACATGAGGCTGGGGAGGGGGGTTGACTCAGGCCACTTGTTGATCAAAAAAAGAATTATTGTAGTGAAGATGTCAAATAATCAGGGTTAGATGGTAGAGATAAAGATAAAATGTGCGAGGCGTAGGGATTCAGGTTCCCAGTAAACATTGCCGAGATCTTGCATGGAAACATAAAATAAGCAGGAGGGAAGCACCAAAGGTCTGTATTCTTGACCGCACAGGGAGGGGCTGAGCACGTAAGGTTCTTCCTTATCTATATATATAAAAGGCTAATATGCAAAGTGTCCCCTAGGGAGTTTGACCGGGAGTTCAATCGCTTGCCATGATGTGCGCTGACCACCAGGGGGCGGCACGGAATGAAAGAAGGCCCCAGCCAGCAGCTGGAAGGCCCTGATCAGCCCTGATCGCTGGCCAGGCCTAGGGACCCTGCCTGTGCATGAATTTTGTGCACTGGGCCTCTAGTAGTAATTATAATGCACCTCACAGTACAAAAAAGATAGCCCTGTGAGAAGAGAAGGCAGTGTTCCGTGTCACAGAAAATGAGGTATAGGAAGGTTAAACCGAGCCTAAATATCAAAAAATGTGCAACGCTGTTGTTTCTCCCACTGACTTTGGTAGAAGAAATCATGAGTTGCATATGCTGATCTAAACATCATCATGGGCATTGTTCCTGAAAGGAGGCTGGAATGTGGGACAGGGAAATGACAGTCAATTTGGGATTGCAGCATATGTAGGAGGCTGAGGGTAGGGGTTTTCTCTCCACTGTGTTATTGAGGAGAGTTCGTCTATCAAGAGCAAAGGAACAGGAAGTCAGATACACGCCAGCAGCCCATGGCAGTTTTACAAAGGCAACAATATGAGGTGTGTTTTCAGGGCTGTTTTGTGCAGCAGTGAGTCACCAAGTTGGTAAAGACGTTTAGCTACTGACACAGCATCAGCATCTCAAAGTGACTTGATTGTTTGCTTACTTCTGTTGTGGATATAGTAACTCTTGGCGAGTGATAACTTACTTCTTTGGGGGAAAAATGCCTCCCCAAAGAACACCAACTGTTAGTGTGGTGTGAAAAGGAAGGAAACATGAAAAGGTTCAAGAAGAATCATATTAACCTCAAAAGTCAGAAGCCTGATAAACTGATACATGTTGATAATTATACACTATTGTGATAGTTTCATAATTATGGAATTGCAAAGTTCTCAGGAACATAAAGGCTCATCTCACAGTTTTCTAAATGTACATTATTTCGTTCACTGTTTACAAGCATTTGTGGAGTGCTTCCCAGCTTTTCTATTTAGAGTTGCAGTAATTAGTGCTTGCTGCTAGCTTAAGCAACGAAAGAAAAAACGCTTCTAAGGAGGCAGGCATTAGGTTGTACACACACCTGGGTAGCTTGCCGGGGCAGAAATGTCACAGGCTGGCCAACTGGAAGGGATCTTAGAGGCCATCGAAGCCAGGACCAACACCTTTGTTTTACAAAAAAGATAACCGAGGCTTCAAAAGGCTAAGCAATGTACCCAAGATGATGCAACTAGTTAGTACCACAGCCTAACTCCTAAATTTAGTACCAACAAAACACTACTCAAATATAGGAGCCTAAGGAAAACATTTTTTGTTGCAATTATTTAAAAAATAATTAAAAAATTGATGAGAGAGAGAGAGAGACAGAGACAGAGACAGAGAAAGAGAGACAGAGAAACACTGACTTGTTGCTCCACTCACCCTACACTCATTAGAAGACTCCTGTATATGCTCTGACCGGGATCGACCCTGCAACCTTGACATAAGAGGACGATGCTCTAACCAACTAAGCTATTTGGCCAAAGCTTGTTGCAGTTATTTTTAAAGATTCCTTCTCTTTAATGGCCAGGGGTAAAATGATCTAATCAGAAAAGGGAAAAAAAGTCAATGAAAGTATAATTCTTATCATGCTTTCCAGACCTCAAGCTGAAGTACTGTGGACTCAGCAGCATTTGATAAAAATATTACTTCATTAGCAAAGTCCATATCTATTTAATGTGGGGGTGTGCATTCATGCCTTGTTGCTTGATTGGAGTGATTTGAGAACAAGACTCAGATGGACATCTGCCTATCTTGGCAACTGTCAGTCACCTATGTCCTTCTGAACCACATTCTGGTTTTTTTGTTTGTTTGTTTGTTTGTTTTTACAATTAAAAGTGTACTGCCCTGAAGTGACCATCATGCTTTTAAAGAGCAAAGATTTTTAAATATAAGGAGGAAATGTAATCCTTTCCATTCTCTTACAGGATCTATAGCAGGAAAAAGTGAAGTCCTGATTCTTTAATTCTACCTCTTCTAATTTTTTAAAACAGCACAGAGAAGGCTCAGACCCATCTTTGGATCCTTTGGTGAATAACTGAACAAATGAGATTTTGAAAGGCTAGCCATCAACAAATACCAGTTTTAACAAGATGTGATATAGGATCGATATTCAAGAACTTCTAAATATGGATGTCAAACACACAGGAAGACAGGGAGAGAGAAATCTATCTTATTTTTCTGGATTTTCATTTCACTATATTTTACTTGTTAGGCCACTTGTTAGGCCAGAAATTAATCAAAACAATATGTTTTGCTGGGAGATAAAGAGGCTTTGTTTACACTGTTCGAGATGCAGCAATGTGAAGCTCGACATATAGACACAGTGCACAGGTCAATGTGTGGGTTGAAAGATCAGAAGGAAGGCCAGGTTCATGGTACAGGCCTGGAATTATGTTAGAGATGGAGACTTTGGATAGTATCTCATTCCCCAAATGAGGAAAATTTTGCAGACGAGGAAGCGGAGTGGTTAAATGCCAATGCGAGGTGATACAGTTAGGATGGGTCAATGCTCTCTGGCCTGCGGTCATTCAGGGTGAAAGGTGTGAGGGACAGAGCCCAGGGTAAGAGCCAAGGTTGAGAATGGATCTCAGGGACAGAAGAGAAGATCTAGGACCTACAGGGTGCTAGAGCTTACAGAAAGAACACACCAGAAGGAAGGAAGATTTAAGGTCAAATGCTGCAGAAAAGGACTAGTAACAAGCAAAAGCCATGGGATTTTTCAGTTAAGGAATCACTGGTGATTTTTTTTTAAGTGTCTTAGCTCAGGTTACTGTAACAAAATACCATAGCTGGCTAGCTTAAACAACAGGAATTTATTTTCTTAGATTTCTAGAGACTAGAAGTCCAAGTCAAAGTGCCAGCATGGCCAGTTTCTGGTCAGGGCTCTCTTCCTGGCTTGCAGATGGCTGTCTTCTTATTGTGTCCACACATTGGCAGGGAGGGGTGGGGTTGAGGACAGGGAGGGACGAAGTGAGGGTGAGATTGTGTTCTCTAGTGTGTCTTCTTCTTATAAAGTTGTTCAATATCCCATCAAATAGGCCCCATCCTCATGACCTCATCTAAACTGAATTATATCCCAAAGGCCCCATCTCTAAATACCATCACATGAAGGGTTAGGACTGTAATATATGAATTTTGGTGGGAACACAATTCAGTCCATAGCTAAAGGAGTTTTGGCAAACCATTTGGATCAGAAGCCAGACAGCAAAGGGCTGGTGAGCATTTGGGAAATGCAGCAGAAACATGGCTGCTCATGAGAGTTGGTAGTGAAAGGTTGATGCTTTTATGAGAGTAGCTTTTGTAAAAAGAAAATAATCTTGGGAAACAAAATATCTCATGTTTAATTTGCTTAGACACCCCCTTCCCCAGATCCAAAGTGAGCTACTGATGTATTTGCCCATTTCCCTCATCCCATTTTATAATCTCCCAAGTCAGATGAGCATTTATAAAAGCTACTCATGAGATACAGTTAAGTGAAAAAGCACATATTACAAAACAGAGTGTGCTACATGACCCAATTTGTTTAAAACATTCACAAATAAAAATTTTTTAGAAGGCCATATATACAAAATGTCATTGTTTATTCCTGGAGATGGGATGTAGGAAGCATTAGGCAAGGTTCAGCTAGGAACACAAACGACATTGGATGTTTCAAGTAGAAAGGATTTAATTTAGGCAGCTTTGTGCTAGCAAAACCATTGGAAGGGCTGGGGAAAAGAAGGGTGGATGGAGGCCACCAGGAGCTGTCAGGTTTGCCATCATAGCTGTGGTCCTCTCCAGGGTCAGGAAACTGCTGCTGCCTTCATACTGCCCAGAGCTCCAGGGTCTGACCAGTCAATGCAGGACGTCATGTCACCAAAGCCTGTATATCAGCTGCTACCATCATGGCCTGAGGGACCATGGCTTCCACCTCCCTTTTTGTCTTCCAAACCCATGCAAGTGCACCTCTGTTGGCAGAGCTGAAACTATTCAGAACCCAGTAGTCTGGGAAGTAGTCCCCCGGGTCCAATCTCTTTGATTCTGGGGAGTGTAGAGGAAGGAGGTGGGAATTGTACTAGGTGCCAGACAATATTCATGATAGTCAACTCTCTTTGGTTACAAGACAACCATACACACTCCCTTACACTTAAATTTTCAAATTGCAATATCAATGGACACCAGCTTCTGTAATCATCCCTCATTCAAAATGGGAGACCCCAAGTCCCATCAGGTATTGCATCCGTTGTTAAGTGATCACTCCTCTTCCAGTTCAATGTCAAATCCACCTAAATATCATGTAACCTAACTATTAAACTGTAAGTTTCACCAACTTATTTGTAACTGGTCATGAGGCTAAGTTGGTATTTATAACTTCCTTCTTCCAGGTTGTTCTACTATACTAGCTTTTACCACTGGGCAATTTCTAGGAGGTAACCTAGGTTCCAAACATAGTCTTCCTGCCCCGTGATACAGCAACAATCCAATTTCCTTTTGATAGTTAGGATCAATCACCCCATCCAGTACAATAATTCTCTTCATTGCCAAGGGCTGGTGGCAATCAATGGAATCATTGTGATAGTCTTTGATGGAGGGATAGTTTCCTTGGGAACTAAGACTTCTAAACTAGCCAAGCTCTAAGTTGCAAAGATGAGAAGTAACATATTTTAAAAGTGGGTTTCTGAGTATATAAATGAGAGTAGCCATTCCATCTTTTGCAGTCCATCCCCCCTCCTCACCAAAAAAAAAAAAAAAAAAAAAAAAAAAAAAAAAAGCAGCACCATATACTGTTGCTCACCTGACTTTCAGCTATGGAGTGAATTGTGCCCTCCCCCACCCCTTGCCATTCATATGTTGCAGCCTAACCTTCAATGCAATGGTATTTGGAGAAGGGATTTTTGGAATATAATTAGGTTTGATGAGGTCCTGAGGGAGGAGGCCTCAGAATGGGGTTAGTGACCTTATAGAAGAGATACCAGAGAGCTTGCTTCAGCTCTCTCCCTGCCAGGTGAGGACACAGTGAGAAGGCCACCTTTCCCAAATGAGAAAGAGAGCCCTCACTGGGAATTGAATTGGCTGGCACCTTAATCTTGTCCTTCCCAAGCTCCAGAACTGTGAGAAATAAATTCCACAGTTGGTTAGGCCATCAAATCTGTGGTATTTTGTTACAGCAGCCTGAGCTAATAATATACCTTTGTAAATCCCCACTCTGACTCCTTAAGTGTGGATATATCATAGTTTACATACACTATTCCCTTATTAATAATTTTCAGCTTTTCCAATAAATTCCTAAGTCAGACCCAGATTGAAGTGAAGGCAAGTCTGTAAGGTACCAGCATTGTACGTGACTATAATGATAATCAAATCTCTAGATCCTGGCTATGCTAGGGAAGTTAGAGTTCGTCCAAGTGTCTGGCTGCTACTGTACTGAACCTATCATAGAATCTCAGGACCGGAGGGCAAACCAATTTCCTGGTGTGCTGGGGGCTGGGGCGATGCCTTAGCCACTGGAGTTCAGAGGACAAGAAGAGCCTTGTCTTACTGGCCCACATGTCCGCATGTCTTCCAGCCCTTCAGGGAGGCCCCGCAAGGAGGGGTCAGCTCATTTACATAATGAAAACTGGCAGAATTTAATGCGACATCTGCACAGATGCAATTTCCCTTTAAATAAGAGGCACTAATAAATGTTTATGGTCTAGAAGCTCACTGCGTTTTTACATGGAACACTTTGGCCACTATGTTCAATTTAAACATCTGAAATTGCGTTTTCCAGGTGATGTGTGATGCATTTTTTTCACAACTCACTGAGCCCATTTGCCTTCATCTTCAAGTGTTGAAAGTGCAACATGTTTTAATGAGAATTACACATCTGCCAATTTACTCTGTCAGCCTCCTTTAAATCTGCTATAATCGTTTCTCTGGGCTGAAAATTCCTCTCTGCTCAGGCACTGCTAACCTGCAATCACTCCGAAGGCCAGGATTCAATTTAAAAGTCTGGAGTTCTAAATTAGAATATGAAATTTATTATGTGGCTCCAGTTCAGTGTCAAGTTTTCCACGATTTTGCCCAGGAAACACAGGCCCATCAGTGCCCTCATCAAGCAGCCCTGTCATTACTCCGACTCCCAGAGTTGGAACAAAATGCATCCCAAGTTTCTTCTAACGCAGGACTTTGAGAGGGAGAGTTTAAAGTAGCTGCCTCTAAAACTCTTGTAAATGTGGCCTGTGCAAACATCCAGCAAACAAAGCTCTCTTTCTCCATAAAGACACGGGCCAACCATTTGCTTTCTTCAGGGCTGTTTCCTGCGCACAGGCAGGAAGATAACAGTTCTCATCCTTGGCTCAGTACATCACCTAAAGCGAACCTCTCCCCTTGAACAGCAGGGCAGACACCACGGGCTGTGTGCAGGAGACTCAGGGGCCAACTGATTGACCAGCAAGGAAGACACAGTCCCTCACTTTTTCACTAGTAATGGATCAAATCTTGTCCCCACCTTAGGAGTCTATAAGAGGCTAAGCCAATTTTGGTAAATCAACTGGAGGTAAGCTCAAAATATTAGATTATCCAGAAGCCTATGTTGTAAGCCTCATTCTGAAATCTCTCAAAATCCCCATGGAGGTCCACAGTTTACAGATGGGGAGCAGACTTGGTGTGCTAGGGATACTGGTTTCTCAGGAAGAGGGGCTCCATTTAGAACTTGTTATAAGCATCTCATTCAACTTCTGATTCCACACCCTTATCAAGAAACAGAGGATTCCAACCGCCACCCTTAAGCAGAACAGAATAATAAGGGGAAAGTGCGTGGCTAACAAAGCAAAGAGAAACTACTTTATCAACTGTAAAAGTCTTAATTACAAATAAGACATCGTTGTAATTCACAGGGATGACTTCAACTCCAAGACCCAGGCTACAGCCCAGAGGGGCAAAGAGAAATCATGACCAGAGGCTGCTACCTGATGGTGGTGCCCTGCAAACGGTCTATCTTCTTGTTGAGCTCCGCAATGATGCTGTGGAGCTCCGTGATGCGCTCCTCGTATCGAAGCGTCGTCCGCTCCTGGACATCCTCATGCTCTCTCATGAGGTGGGACTGCTCACACTGGAATCAAGAGAACAAGAAAGAGATGGCAATGAGTTGACATACCTATAGGCTAGTGATTCTAAGTTTTATAGCCTCAATTCATCACAACTTCAACAATGAGCATGCCCAAGATAAAACATATGCCTGCTCACTGACCAGCAATCCCGAGAGACACATCAAAGTGCAATTTTACAACCAAAGAATCCTGAGTGGTATGACACCATTTCTTATTTGGCTGGTTCTCTGCAGGCCAGACTGAAAACTCCTGGAAGGCAGGGACTAGATGTTTTTGTGAAATAGCCGTGGCACCTGGCATATGGCCTGGGTCACCGTAGATGATCGGGAAGTGCAATGGAATGAATAAACCACCATGTGTCACACTATCATGAAGGATGCTTTGCAGAAACAATGACAAAAGAGGCTGAGGAGCTTCCCTTGCTCACCATTTGTTGGACTAAGAGGCAGCAGATGCTATAAAAAAACATTTTTATTTAAATCCTAAGGAATCTATTCACCTCTTTCATTTCTCTCCCCATTCAGAACCCCACACCAGTCACTGTGCATTTAATCTCATTTACATAATAATAAAACACTCATCAGTGATGGAACAAGGAGTCTAGCTTATGTTCCTGTCTACTATATTCAGCCCTGATTAATTTCCTGTCCAGTAGAGGAATTTTTATTTCATTTTTCAACAAGGTTTTCCTAAAGCCAAGAGCCATGTGTACTTGTCCACTTTGCACTTGTGGGGCTGGTGCAGACAGGCAAGGGTAAGACTTCTCATCCACTACCTCCAATGTCCTCTCTTTTTCCTAAATCTGCTGAGCTCCCCATGGTGTGACGCAGAAGCTACTGGGCAGGGGTAAAAAGCTTTCAGAGACAAGTAGGACACTGCACTAAGCCCATCCATCCCAATACTGAAACACAAGTGCTCAGTACAGGAGTCTGAGGTATACATTGGTATAAATCGTGGCAAGGACCACATTCTGAAGAGGACCCTGAACAATGGCTTGGTCAGTACTAATGTGGAAACATCCTGAGGGCTGCTCAGAGCTCCAGAAACAGGATCAGATGCAACAAGGTTGATGAACGCTCTATCACAGGTTTTTGTGAGACAGTTACTCTCCGAGAAATTGTGATATGACTTTTGTTCTTAGAGACAACCTGAAACATCCAGTACCCTCCATTCAAAGTCAAACACACGGGAACTAAGTGGAAGCACCGAGTGAAGCCATATCAACCTGGAAGCTTTCCTAAGCAGGATGAATCTGCACCAGGCCACACATACTCTTTCTACAAAGTTATGCCTTTTTCATCCACGACCCACCACACTTTAAAAGGAACAAGAAAAGTACACAAAATGACGTGTGTCAAAGACAATATCTGTCAATACCTGAAAGAGCATATTTCTCTGGAATATACAAACAGCAGAATACTGTTCCTCTCCATCCAAGCAGAATATCTATGGGCTTTTGCTATTGGTCTTCATTCCTATCTTTAAAGTGTGTGTGTGTGTGTGTGTGTGTGTGTATCCATGTGTGTGGTGTAGTATGTACATGTGCATATGCAGCTCACCCTCATATGAAGGTCACTGATTCCAGATCCTAAAATAATTACAGGATAAGCCTGGTCTAGCCTGGATCTTGTCTACACAATGGCTGCCCCCTCCACTGCCACCTCACTGGTTCTTTCTCTTTGGTTTCTATATTCAGTTCTCAAGGGCTACAAACTACTGTGAACTGCTTCCTCTTACAAACTCAGCGAGCTCCCACTCTCCCTTAATTCCCCCTTATTCTTCCTTCTTTACAGTCTTTATAGGTCAACAGGCCATTAAGGCAGACAAGAAACTACAAAACCCACTTAAAAATGAAGAGGTGTAAGTGTTTATATAAGAAAAGAGCATATGACCAATTGGTAACCACCAAGACAACTCTGGGCATCCCTGTTGACTGTTAGGAGCTACCCAAAAGGTAAGATCCCATGGGGCTGCCCAGGTTGCAGAGAGATCAGATGGGTGATGACCAGGCAACAAGAGCATATAGCTGGCATTGTGCCATCATCACCCCTGGCTCTAACTGCAAAGATGGCCAGGAGGGTGCGATTATGAACAAGAGACAACAGGAAGCCTGATGATTCAGTCAGATGGAGAAGTGCCCATAGCTAAAAGGATAAAAAAGACTTACAATGTATATTTGGAACTAAGGGGTTCATTTGGGAGTAACAACAAGACTATATTGGGGGAAATTTCTTAGATGATGGCAAATATATCTCCTTTACATTTCTATATTTTACCAAAATTATGCGTTTAAAGTGGTAGAAAGCCTCTGTAATTTTATGCTTCCTCTAAAACTAATAAGTATGTTTTGATTTCCCATGATATCTAAGATACTGTGCTATGTGCCCTGGTTGCGGGGGTGGGGGAGTCACTATGATACCTACTTTGAAGGGAACTGTGGTCACAGCTTTCAGGTGGTCACACCTTCTCTACTGGACAATAAAACTATGGACAGAAGTGAGGGTGGGAGTAGAAGAGATGGTGGAATGGTACCTGAGGATTCCTTTCCCCAGAAAAGAGAATACTGGGAAATCATCAAAACTCCTAGCCTCTATGTGGATGAATGATTGAGAAGACTTTATTTAAGGTCTCACCTGTATAAATCAATATCCCCGAGAGGTACCCCATTAAAAACCTCCCCATTCTGTGCACACTCACTGTACGCAGCCAAAGGTACTTGAAATGCTGATCTCAACTTTAGTGAGAATCCCCTGGGCTTTCCAAGCCGGGGAGCGGGGGAAGTAGAGCCCCTCCCACAGAACAGCAGTGCAGGAAGAAACAAGTCATCACCCGCAGGAGCCAAAAGAACCCAACAAAACACCCTTGTCAGGCCTCCCCTTAAACTGCACAAGAGCCAACCCCAGGAATGTGGCACTTCAGTGCAGGAGAAGAAGATGAGTGGGCGGTACCTGGGACAGACAAAGCCGCTCTGTGCACGCTGGGTGCCTTCCTGCCCTGGCGACCTCCCACACGGGCAGGATGGGCCTAGTAAAGTGAGACCTGATTCTGTCATCCACTCTAGTCCTGTTACTAATCAGAGCCTCTCACCACCCTGAGTTTCCAAGACCTGTGAGAGCATTTTAACCTAGGATTGCAGGTATTTGGTTGGACAAGGACAGAGGCTAGGTCAAGCTTGATCCCACACCTCCACATAAGGTCACCTATGGCAGGTATCCCAGTAAAGCCTCATTCAAGAAGATAATACAATGATGACAACTATGGAGGAAAAAGGGGCATTACTTCTATGATTACCACTTAACATTTGCATGTTTTTTAAGTTGAAATTTAAGTATGTTATAGACATTTTTAAAAAATGATAAAAAGACATTCATTCCTTGCATGGAACAGAGTAACAGATCTCAGTGGGGGGTGGAGGGACAGGGAGAGATTAACCAAAGAACATATATGCATAATCCATGGACACAGACAACAGCATGGGGGAGGCCTGGGGTTGGGCGGGGCTGGGTAGAGGGGAGCAAAAAGGGAGAAAATGAGAGACATCTGTAATATTGTCAACAATAAATAAAATAAAAATCATCCATCTACACTAATAAAAGACAAAGATGCTAATTGACCATACCCTCGCTACACCCATCAGCCAATCAGAAGAGTATGCAAATTAACCCAACAAAGATGGCCGTTAAATTTGCATACTGCAGGTGGGGTGGGGCAGCACCATCCACCGCCTGCCCCAACACCAGGATCGGGCCTGCCGTGTGCGCGACCTAGGGTGGTGGGGCAGGCACCTCGGGATTGGGCCTGCCATCTGCCACCCGGGGAACGGGCCTAAGCCAGGAGGTGGTTATCTCCCGAGGGGTCCCAGACTGTGAGAGGGCACAGGTGGGGCTGAGGGACACCCTCCCCCCCGCCAGTGCACAAATTCTTGTGCACCAGGCCTCTAGTTCTTTCATAATCTATTAATACAATCCTTTTTCACATGGTGTTCATTTCTATCCAGTATTTTCTTATGTGGGGTGTGGGGTGCACATTGTGTAAGTATCAGCACCCCTGTAGAAGCCAGCAGGGCCTTCACCAAGACTGGTTCACCTCCACCCATGCACATAGTCAGTTTATACTTCCCTTAAAGCTTGATATGGCCATGTGACTTGTTTTAACCAATGAGGTGTTAGTGAATATACATCATTTTTTATTCAAAGCCTTTAAGAGCTAGTGTGGATTTGCCCCATTCCCTTCCCCAGGCCATGGCTGCCTGGCAACGTTCTAGATGGTAGAGGCCCATCACCTTGGGAGGCTGGGCCAGGGCAATACAGCACAGTCTCCCTCCAGACCCAATGAGCTCCCAGCAAGAAGAAACACACCTTTAGTATTTTAAGCCACTAAAAATTTTGGGTTGTTTGTTAGTACTGCATATTCTGTAGATGCAACCAGTTTATAGATGAAAACAGACTGTCAAGTGGCCAATTTATTTATCACTAGTGGCCCAGTGCATGAATTCGTGCACACTGAAAGGAAATTAACTAGGAGAAATATTTTAATACCGTTATTCACCCTTTCTCTATAATAGAAGTATCAACCAAATTCATGATTGACAATGACAGATGGAAACATTGGCACCAGCGAGAGCTTTGTATGTATTGCCCATGCACGAGTCAACTTAGCCTTTTATAGATATAGAACAAACTTGCTTAATTAGAACTGCTTTCTGATTTAGCTAAACTTTTTCCAGCCCAGTGAAGCACCCCAACTTCTCTTTCAGGTAATTGTCAGCAACACAGCAGTAAATATCAACACGAAGCAGATTATTATTGTAGATCACGCAGGGAGAACAAAGCGTAAAATATTTAACTGCAGCAGTGTTTGACTATATTCTGTGCAGTGAGAAAACCTGAAGTCATTTTCAAGATCCACCACTTCTTACTTTTCAGTAGGGTCAAGTTTCTAAACTTTCTAAACCTCCATTTTTCTGGCTAATGAAAAGAAAATAGGATTCCACGAGTCTCCT